CATATGTTTTAGTTTTATTGAGCATTTTAAAATTTGTTATTTGTAGTCTTTATTGTACTATTTCTACTTTCAATATTTTAACTTATTAATATTTTTTAACACATTAGAAGTAACTGTTATTATATTTACATTTTTTAGAGTATAATCTACCCTGAAAAACTTTTATCTAATTTCTAAATGCATAAATGTTTTGACATACACTACCATTCGATAGTTCGGGGTCAGTTTTTGAATGTTTTTGCTTATTTGGTGCTCAAGAAACATTTCTTACTATTATCAATGTTGAAAACATTTGAGTTGCTTAATCTTTTTGTGAAACCTTATTGCACTTTTTTCCTAAAAGTACCATAAAAGTTCAAAAGAACAGCATTTATTTCAAGTAGATAAAAAAAAATACAATTTCAAAAAGGCTTTATTGGCGCTCTTGATCAATTTAATTCATACTTGCTGAATTATTAATATAACAATAATTGTATTAATAAAAAAAATTATTTATAAAAAGAAATAAATCTTACTAACCCCAAACCTTTGAACAGTATGTCGGGTGTGTAATTTAGATTTAAGCGATTCTTTAAAAAATCAGTTTGGAGTGTTTTCTATAAGATTCATTCAATTATTCAAATGCATCAGTTGTGATGGTCTGACAATATTTCCCATTCCAGGTCTTTGGTCTTTGGAGTATAAAAGAGAACTGACAAGCCCACTGTGTATTGCTGCTGCACAAGGTTTCACTGAATGTCTGCTATATTTACTGGAACACGGCGCACACCCCAACCTTATCGCAGGAGGAAAAGCAGCACTTCATGAGGCCTGTGTAAACGCCAACAATGAATGTGTAGAGCTGCTGCTGGAACATGAGGCTAATCCTAACCAGATGACAGACGATGGACTGACTGCCTTACATCTCTGCAGAGCACCACAATCACTATGGTATCATTATATGAATATGAAACATAATACTGTACACTATATATTATTACACCTTATAATTAGTATAATCATAAGTATAATTTAAAAGTAATTGTAAAAATAAAATACTAAATAGTCAAATGATAAATCATTATACACCAGTACAAACTGACATGAAATCCATATTAATAATATTTCATCTCTTTAAGAGTGTAGTGCAAATATGAGCAACAAATTCTTCACCTCAAAAATTATTTACAATTATTACCATTTCTATTGTAGTTGTGCGAAAGCCTTGGTGAGATATGGTGCCAAAGTGAACTTATCCAGTGAAGAAGAGGATGAAACGCCACTGCATGTGGCAGCTAGACATGGTCTGCCCCACCATGCACAGCTGTACCTACGATTCGGAGCCTGTGTGAACCATAGCAGCTCTTCGGGTGAAACGCCACTGGGTGTTGTTTGTGGAGTCGCCCAAGAAAAGACCGTCGACAGCCAAGATGAAGGATACCTCGAGATCTGTTGTCTCCTTCTGGCCTATGGAGCGAACATTAATTCGGCTGATAAAGAACGCCGCAGTCCTCTACACAAGGCAGCCCGCAATGTTCAGCTTAAGTTGGTGGAGCTTCTCTTGGACCATGGGGCTGATATCAATGCCATTGACTATAACGGATGCTCACCGTTATCTAGTGTTCTACAAAGCTCTGTGGTTCGGCAAGAGTGGGAACCTCACAGGGTTGTTCAGACCTTGTTAAATCACGGCTCTATTAAAGTCTGGCCACAAGCACTGCTGAAGGTGATCACTGATAACACTGAGATAATAGTCCTGAGATTTATTGTATACATTCACAATATACAACTTATAGAATACACAACTTATTTCATGACATAAACATTCTTCAATAAAAAAGCTGGTTTAATTTGCTATTAATTTGGTGTCTTATTCATCTTTCATTGTATCTTTTTTTTTTGGTATGATCAGTTGGCAAAATTATTACTTTCATTCATGTTTTTTGGTTTTAAGGTATTAACAGCCTGTGCAGAGGCACCTAAAACTGTGGAAATCCTGTTTAACTCATACACACTTGTTCCTGTGACCCCCAAATGGGTTGAGGCTATTCCTGAGGATATTTTTCATGTAAGTCTTTCATCATTTCACAAGGATTTTTACTAGATGAAACCTTTGGAAACATGATTCATAGCATAAATATTTCAAACAGCAAAACAAGGCTAAAAGGCTTAAAGGTGAAGTAAATCAGTTTTGGAATGAGTCAATGCATGCTGATGCTGTTGGAATTATTGTACCATATTAGTGCATGACTATTCTCTCTTTTTTATTTATTTCTTTTTTTAGTTTCACAGAACCTTTTATGAGTCTCTTTTTGCACTGGAGTATAAACCACGCAGTTTACAGCATCTGTGTCGGTCTGCACTGAGGAAACAGTTTGGGAAAAACTGCTGCTCACTCATTCCCAGGCTCTCTGTCCCAAAGCCACTTCAACAGTATCTTCTTTTGGAACCGGAGGGGTACATTGACTAGAATCAGACCTTTTGGCAGAAACCTTAAGAGAACTTTACAAGGGTTTTTAATGCCATGTAACACTCTGACAAGGATGACTGCCTTAAAGGAACACTCCACTAGATTAGACCGTTAGCATCTCGCTCAAAAACGACCAAAGAGTTTCTATATTTTTCCTATTTAAAACTTGACTCTTCTGTAGTTACATCGTGCACTAAGACCAACAGAAAATTAAAAGTTGTGATTTTCTAGGCCGATATGGCTAGGAACTATACTCTCATTCCGGCGTAATAATCAAGAAACTTTGCTGCCGTACCATGGGAGCAGAAGGTGCAATGATATTAGGCAGTGCCTGAAAATAGTCCCCAGCTAGGTAACTTCCAACGTGACTGGCACTAAGTTTGTGTAGTTGGTTATGCTGACGGAAGTTAGCCTATTTTCAGGAAGTTTCTTGATTATTACGCCGGAATGAGAGTATAGTTCCTAGCCATATCGGCCTAGAAAATCGCAACTTTTCATAGTACACGATGTAACTACAGAAGAGTCAAGTTTTAAATAGGAAAAATATAGAAACTCTTTGGTCATTTTTGAGCGAGATGCTAACGGTCTAATCAGATTCAATGATCTATGCTAAGCTACAGCTAAAAGTGCTACTGCCAGACCCGGAGATCGGCTGAATGGATTCGAAAACGGTAAAACTCAACTGTTTAACTCTAGGGGAGTTGGAAAATGAGCCTATTTTCAAAAATAGTGGAGTGTTCCTTTAAGTTTCACTTGCAAAGTCACCATACAGTGACATTTTTAGAGATTGTATTTTTTCACCTGTTTTCATATAAATAACCTGATATATTAGTGTAAATAGCTTTACAAGACATTTTATTGTTTGAATGACAGTATTTTATGTGAATGCTATGGGTCCTTTATTCATTTCTATAAATATGCAGTTGCAGCTCAGTTAACGTTTATTGCATAATTATTTAATTAAGAAATATTTTTAGTCTGTCAATAAAATAATATCTTTTGTCAAGTCTGACTGTCATTTCTTTCTGTCTGACTTCATTTCTCCAGTGTACAGGGTGTTATATGTAAACCTTGGCACTCACAGCACAGCTATAGCAACGGGTTTGCAGAAATAAGTTGGTTAAGATAGAAATGTTATGCTGACATTTACTGGCCTCAATGCATGAAATTTGATTATTAACTGCTGTCGCTTGACATCAACGCTGTTTGTGGACCTGTTAAATGCACTTGTTTTGATGTACTTTTATGCTTTGTAACTTGACTTGAGCACTAAATAACACGTTATTATTATTATTATTATTATTATTATACGTAATTACATATCTGGTCATTTGATGTCAACATGGAGGCCATGAGGAGGCGACCTGCTCCATGTAGAATAAAGTTGTTGTTATTTAAGAAAGGATTCAACTCACATAAGTGTATATTATTTTAATTATATCAACATGATGCCACTAAATGCTATTGTGTAAAACGTTTTTGTAAAATAATCAAACACTGCGCCTTTAAATATTTAGCATTAAACATAAAAGTTGTCTATTAATCCTTTCATAATACAATAGCTTTAGCTACTTTTAAAGAAGAACTCTCTCTCTCTCTCTCTCTCTCTCTCTCTCTCTCTCTCTAAATTCAAGTTGCTTTATTGGCATGACATTTGTATTATAGTATTGCCAAAGCATTTTAAGTATGTGTAAAATACAATATAATTGCATCACCAAAGTAATAAAGGAAACAATAAATATGTAATAAATTAGAGAAAATAAATAAATAAATACAATAAAATAAAAATAACAACAGCAGACAGTATCTCTAATATTAATTATAATAATTGCAATTAAATAATATGTAAAATAAAGCAAATGAATACAATGGATTAACCGTTTCGTATGGTGTGTATACATATTTTGCAGCTAGTTTGACTGCCATGTCATCCTCTCCGAGTTTCTCTGAGTCATTTAGAGTAAAGAATGAAAGATTCAATGCTGCAAATTGTGGAAAGAATATGTCTCTTGTAGTGCTGTACTTGGGACAGACATGAAGAAAGTGTTTCTCATCCTCTATTTGAGTTAAGTCACAGGTTTACATAGGCGCTGTTTTCTAGGAATCCAGGATTTGTTATGTTTTCCTTTCTCTAATTCTAATTCTAATTCGATATTTTGAAATAATTTAGCTTTCTTTTAATTGTTTAATTGATAATTTGCCAATTTTGTGGTTCTGTTTAGGGCCGAATGACACTGGAGTTTGGTTTGGAGGTCAAATTCGTTTAATTCAATTAAATTAATTTTTCATCATAATTATATACTTTAGATGTTTGTCAATTTCTTTATGAATATTGGGGTTGTGGCTGGAGTCAGACTCAGCTTGAGTTTCATTCATTCTCTCTCTCTCTCTCTCTCTCTCTCTCTTTAAATCCTAATTTCCACATTCCACAGACTGAGTTCGTATTATGTTCGTCTCCTGGTCAAAAAGTGCGTAAATACTCGCTGTAACTGTGTTGTGCCACCTGGGAGCGGTAAGCGCACCGCTATTGAACTGAATGAACGGCGGTGACGCACAAGCTTCACGAACAAACCGGAGACAGACTCTGGCGTGTCGTGTGTTGTCACTTAGCTGTGCCTGTCACCGTTACCGGAGTCGGTTGTCCATCCAAGCTTTAACAAGTTTCGTCGCATTCATTTTGTGCAGTGTTCGTAGGCGTTAAAGAGCAGAAGAGAAAACGGGAGGCATGTGAAGTTAGTGTCTCTTTCACCAGAGATGGAGAATTCAGTTGAAGATGAGTGCGCTGACTCGGGAGCGGAGACCGGAGGGTGAGTAATGATAAAGATGCTTTATTTAGCTAGGAAAACGAAATAAATAGGATATGGAATTTAGCTATAATGCGCTAATTTACACCATATGCGTCAAATATCAACGCGCTTAAAAGAAACTGATTAAAGTGAGTCATTTGATGAGGATTCTGATAGGCTACCTGAGCAGAGCAGGTCACTAATAAACCAGACAGCGCGCTTGTTTGAAGTTTTCTCGTTTCGTTTCTACCGCTTTTGGCCCATTTCTTATTTAACCATCTGTTGTTTGGCATTAACACCCAAGACATATGGCGCAGAGATTTACTGCTGCATGCTGCTTAGGCTTTTTAGCACAAGAGAGTGACAGAAGTAGCCAGTATACTAATCACATAGATCTGACATCAGCTTTCTACCTAAGATTTAACTCTCTATTATATAAAAGGCATGTATGATCTGTACCATCATTCTGTGATTTCAGCTGTGAACGATGAAAAGATGCATCCTGGTTTGTTTATAGGTATGTCATATCATAATGGCTGTTCTGTCTTGTAGGTGTAGGTATGGTGATTTAGTAGGACAGTAGACTTAGCACACTGCTGAATCCTCCCTTCTTCAGAACATGTGACCTGTGTGTTTGTATGGTATATAATCTGTTTTAGAATATTATTTCTTTAGATATGCTTTAGGTCATTTGTACTGAAGAAAATGGCATTGGCACCTTTCTAATGACTAACTCTTCAATTAGCTGATGCATTTATTCAAAGCCACTTACAGTAAAACCATGAGCAACCTGGGGTTTAAGCTCAAATGGTGATAGTTTATCCCTTGTTGAGTTTAAATAGTAAGAATTTTACTAAATATTTATTTATAAAGTTTAAACTAAGATCATTATACTCTATACAGCAAACATAAAACAAATGTGATTCACTGTAATGACATTATTGACCACATTTAGAGACTGTTATAATTATTTTATTTGTATTAAGTATTACATTGAAGCACATAAAAGTGTTTTTGCTGTTAAATGCAAAGTATAGGCCATAGTATTTACACTTCTGTTCAAAAGTTTGAGGCTGTGCTTCTTTATATATGTGTGGAAAACATTCAAGATTCTTTCAAGATTCTTTGGTGAATTGAAAGTTCAAATGAACAGCATTTATTTGAAATAGAAATATGTTATAACATTATAAATGCCTTTACCGTCACTTTTACCGTAACTGATCAATTTAATGCATCTTGGCTGAATAAAAGGATAAATGTTTTTGTCCAAAAATAAATAAATCTTACTGATCCCAAACAGAAGTGTTGCACCAATGCACCATACTACCAGTACAGCCCATACTAATACAGCATTAAATTAGAACATACACAATTCAAGTTTAACTATGGAATTTCCCTGTTCTTAAAAAGAATTCAATACCCTGTTACACTGTTTTCACTACCAGAGAAACAGGAAAAAGACAGTGGGAGAGGAAAGGAAAAAGATTGACCAGAGAGCGATAAAAGGGAAAAAAGCACGTACAATGCAAACAAAATGACTGGGTCACTATGTAAGGCACATGTACATAAGGTATTTAATATGTCAAATAGGTCTTTGTTTTTTGCCTTCCTCTGCAACTGTTGAACTGGAGAATAGAAAGGTTTCTGACACAAAGCAGCAAGACAATCTTTGATCATAACCTATGCATATATGTGTGTGTAATACACTAGAGACATTACTACACTAACACACACTATAATACCATGACACCCAGGATTGTTTATCCAGATGTAGGACCTTCCTTTGAAACCTTGGGATCCTAAATCACTCTAACAGTCTCTAACAAAAGTCTTTCTCTGTTTCTCTCTCCCCTTTCTGTCATTCACTCTCTTCTCAGGTCTGACTACAGTCTTATGTCATCAGCAAGCAGTGAGTACAAGCCATTTGTTTGTATATTCCCCTTTATGCAGTTCAGATCAATTTTCTAACAAAGCATGTCTTAATCAAACACAAATTCGCCATATCTAATGTCTTTTAAATACCTTTTCCTCTGTCGCCTTGTGCTCATTGGGGAGTTTGTTCTTTCTAAAGCTGCTTTTGGAATATTATGTATTTTGAAAAGCACATTACTAATTGCAAGTGGAAGATTTCTGTCAGTTAAAACACTTGACAACTGTTGCCATGACAGTGAGATTAGTTTGTCCGGGGAATCACTGCTCGAAGTGCTTCAAGAGCTCTAACACCTCCGCTTGTTTGTGTGTGAGTGCCTGCTTGTGTGTGTGTCTGTGGCTGACTTTTCCCTGTGGCTGCTCCGGGCCCAGTCTGTTTCCCTATGGAGGGATTAATATCCAATATTAGCCCATTAATCTGGGCTGCAGGAAACACTCCTCCCAGTGACAGCGCAGGAAGCACTCTCTCACTCACCCACTCACATATAAACACACTCACCTACTCACATACACACACACACACACACTTTCTAAAACCTAGAGTCCATCAAGGACACCACATAATAGACTGTGTATCATTTATTGAAGAATGAAGAAAAGTGGTTCAATGTGGACTCAGGGACATAAAATGAAGAAAACAGAACGAGACTGTTTGAGAAATAAGGAGAGAGGGGAAATAGAGGTGCTGAAGAAGAATTAAATGTTTAAATTAGCATTTGTTCTCACATTTAAAAAAAAAATATTTCTTTCATTTGATGACGGGGTGCAATTTACAGTACGACATTCAACAATTTTGACAAAAAATGCATTTATTGAGTAATATGCATTTTATTTTATCCTGGCTAAGTGCTTAGGCATGAAAGTTGTAGTGTGAATCGGTGTAGTAGTGTCTAGAGAGGGAGTTCTTTAGAATTTCTATACTGTATATTTCATATTCCATTGTCTTTTTCTTTGTCTAAGCACTTTTGCTTGGATGAGAGATCTGTTTTTCACTTTTTCCACCACATTTCCCCTTATTGGTTCTGCATTCTGTCTCTTTTTCAATGGTATGACAGTATGCTTTCTTGAAAGGCTGCCATGAATAACTGTTTAATGCTGCATCATCAGTCATGTCAGCATTTCGCCACTTCTGCAGCTCATCCGATTTTCTCTGTATCCATGTGCACAATACTTTCCTCTCTGTATCTTTATTTTGTCACATCGCTAACATCTTCGATTTTCTGCATAAACAGAATCTGGAGTCGAGTGCATATTCTGTGAAATCTTTTTGCCTCTTTACAGCTCTGGACTCTTTACTACACTGAAAAAATGTGTAAACATTTAAGTTGATTTTAATTTAAGTCAAAAATGTTATTTAACATCACTAAATCAACCTAAATCCGTTATGTTAAACCAACAAAGCATTAGATCTGAGAGAAATAGCCACTTAAAATAACAATTGCAAGTTTTTACAGTGTAAGAACTACACCAGATTGGAGTGTATATTAGGGATGGTAAGCTGGTGCTAAATATGGTGTTTTATTTAATGTTGGTTGCTTAAATCTCAAACAGCCAGATTACATTCCATTACAGACTCAACTGAGATTACAGATGGTTTAAAGTGATCGAGGCTTCTTGAATCTAACTGAATGCAGAGCGGCCTCTCATAGACAGAAAAGATACTTAGAAACTTGGAGACCAGATTTGCTAGTTCATACATATGCTAACACGAGAATTTCAACCCCATTACAGTAAGTTTGTAATTCATATAATTAGAATTTGAATTGATAACTTGAAGTAGTTTCACATAGTTTTAGTTTGCCTTGTAATAAAATGTTGAAAAATATTAATAATAACCCATGACATTATTGATTCAACACATTTTTCTTTAGATGTTTGTGCTAATCCTTATACATTAACGTTTTAATGTTTTAACGTGGTGCACCACACCACATGATTTGTAGTTAATATTTGGAAAAAGAAATAAAGTGTAACCATTATAAAATACTGATAAAGAGTGTCTGTTCAAAATATTTCATTTGCTCAGATACTTTTTCAGAATCACAGAATAATGGTACTCAAAACATTTATTTTAAAAGGGTAAATATTACAAAATAACTAAATACATATTTTATTCAGTACAAGCAATTAACATGATAAATGGGGACAATATTAAAATGAGAACTAACATTTAAATCAAATAATGTGATCGTGAACCATGTCAGAACCATGTGCCCTAACATTCACGTTTAATTTCTTCCAGCTGAAAGCTTTTGGTAATTAAAACATTAATAACTGGATCACATTAGGTCTGTCATGAGGCTGTCTCCAATATGTGTGTTTCTAGAGGTCATACTGTACAATAGAGAATAGCAAGTACCTTTGCCTAGTGAATATACAGCTTGATTTTTCTACACTGATCGATTGAAAGGATCTTTCATTGAACTCAGATGTGCGTCAGTTACACCTGCAAGAGTGCAGTGCAACTAGAGAAGTGTGCTTACTTGCGAGAGTGTGTTTTTGTGTGTAAGAGCATAGCGTTCCCTTGGCCTCTGGTGCCCACAACCTTAAACAACAAACAAAGTGGGACGAGTCCCATGAGTCGGGAAAGTTTGGGGTGAAAAAAAAGAGTAGAGGAAAAGAAAGAGACAGCTGTCCATGTTCTGCCACTTTCTGCTATATACGTCTGTTTGTTTGTTTGTTTTATAGCTGCACAATAATAAGTTCTCATAATAACAACACAAAGATTTTTGATACTGTTGTTGCTATAGATTATGACAGACAGAAGAATATATCAATAAGAAGGTTTGAAGGGCTTGTTATTACATTATGCAGCATTTCTCATAATGTAGAGACATCATGTGTTTTAGCACGTCATATAAGTACAGTAATTTTTGAAAGTCTTTAATTGCTGCTCATGAATATTGATCTCATTCTGCAGTCATAAAATGTCATATGTGCCTTGATTACTTTGTTAAGGGTTTCATGTGCTTTTGTGCGCAGGGATATTTGTGTGTGTGTGTGTGTGTGTGTGTGTGTGTGTGTGTGCGCGCGCACTCAGGGCTCGGTCTGGTCGAGCCCTGAGTGGAAGGTTCAGTGGAAGGGCAAACCTTATTCAGAAGTCCTACAGGGAGCCAACGCATTTCTCCAGGGTTACTAACATCCACTAATGCAACTAATGAGGCTGCACTGTTCACTATACAGCCTGATTACAGAACAGGAGCACATGGATGAAAAGATTTCATTCAGTCTTGAAAGCCAATCCATTTTTTTTTCTATTTGTACTGTTCTTTCCTTTATAGAAGTCAAAAGCAAAGTAGGTTTACAGTGACTCCTGAAGCCACAATAAAGCAGAACATGTAACACACTAATACACTTAATACGAATAAAGGGAAGAACTAAATGTGTGGTAGATTTTGAAGCAGTGCTCTAATTGAGGGGAGCCCGAAAGACAAGTATTGTTGGGAGTTTTCTAAATGATTTTGTAGTAGGAAGATGACAACAATGATTTGCTGAATTTTTTTCTGAAAAACAAACTACATACTTCCCTTATGTCTATTTAACCATATGATATTTTTATTATTAAAGATATATTTAAGTATTATCGAAAGCAGTTTACAACAGTTGTAAGGGATTGTGCCATAAAGTGTTTACATTTATTTAAATTAATTTATAAATTAATTATTAATTAATAATGTAATTTATATATATAAATATAACTTTCAAATTCATTTTAATTTGCATGAAATTAAAATTCACCCTATATATTTTCTAAATGCATGTTATTGTTGTTATTGGAAACAATTTATGCGTCATATGTTTAAAAAAATTACCTCTTTATTTTTTACTAGAATGTAGAACTTTATTTTCCTGTGAAACTTCTCTCCGGTAACGTATGCTGGGAATTCTCCAATCATTAAGTCAGCTCCTCCACCCCTTTCTTGCAATCCACCACACGCTTGCGTTCAGATCTCCCTCCATCCAATCCCATCCCAGCCCTACATTTTTTTCTTTTTCACTTGTTTCACTTGTATATTTGTCACAAAAAAGAAGTAAAGATCTGTTGCTACTTCTGTTTCATCGCGATTAATTAAATTATTTAATTGCAAAGTAATTAATGTATTGTAATATATTAAATCATTGTAGCTCCGTAAGTTTATAGATCATTTTCTTGTCTCTCTATCCACCCACCTCTTCTTATGTCTTTCTTTTAGGTGATTTGTCCATGGGGGACCTACAGGATCCTTTTCTAGTTTCTATCCACATCATCACTGACCCTGGTCAGGCCAAAACGCTCCAGCAAGCTGCTGATCAGGTTCTCTCGTGGCTCCACCCTGATCTCACCCTCTTCAGGGTGTCAGAACGGGCAGGTGGTCTCTCCCGAAAGCCCAAGGTCCGCCTGCAGCGCGTCACCGAACCGCCATCACACCAGCCAGCCTTGGCTGTAATCCTGTTTCTACAGGATGAATATGGAGGTGAAGAGAGTTTTGAACGTCTCCACAGTCAGCTTAGATGCCCACCGTGGCGATACCACCACACAGAGCGGGTGAATGGGCGAGGGCTCTTACCGTTTTCGCCAGCCAGCCAAGACTTTGTTACACTGGCACCAGGCACACCTCTTTGGGCACTTCGTCAGGTGCACTATGGCAAAGAGATTGTGCGCTTTACAGTCTACTGCTGCTATGAGACCTACACCGAACAGGTGCGTCTGTACAGGCTGCTCCTGCGCCGAAGGCTGGCCCAGAAGAAGGAGGATTTCTGCTTCTGTGTAGTCTTCTCCAACCCTGAAACAGAAATCCAGCTGTCATTCAAGCGGATGCCCCGTGGCCAGAACCCCGTCCCCACTGAAAATGCTGTGATAGAGATTCGAGTGAGGGATGTTGGTGAACTTGTGCCACTGCTGCCACAGCCCTGCACTCCCATCAGTGACGTCCGTTGGCAAACCAATGATTATGACGGAAATAAAATATTGCTACAGGTAAGACAGAGAATATATTACTGGAAAATATATCTCAAAGCAATTGCTTTATCTATCTATATATATATATATAT